GATTGATTGTAGAGATGAGGTCTCGCTGCCCAGGCGGGTCTCGAACCCGCGGGCTCAGGCAATCCACTCACCTCAGCCTCCCAAAGGCGCGGGACTGCCGGCTGAGCCCCCGAGCCCGGCTCGGGTGGCCTTCTTAAGGACGCCTCCTCCGAGTCAGGCTGTGTGGGGGAAGACGAAGCGAGGGCACTGAGGCCGGGCCGGTGCCTCCCCACGGGAACACCTCACTCGTGTCGCTCCGCCGGGGTGTATTGGGCCCAGCCGTCCACGACGCTGCGGTGGGAAGGACACAGCCTCGCAGGCCGCGAGGGGAGCAGGCAGTGACTGTCGCTGCGAAAGCGGCTGGGTCCTGGGAGCAGGGAAAGGGTCCGCGGCTCCCACTGGAGTGGGGTGGGGGCGGTTCTGGAAGAGAAGAGGCTTCTGGAACTGGTAACATCTGAGTTGCGGGGGAAGGGTACAGAAAGGCTGTTTGGGAAGGTGGGGGAACAGGACTTGAGGCCCCGGGATCAGCTTGCAGGAGAGATGGGAGACGAGAGTGGCCGTGGTTTGGGTGGCAGAGACGCTGCACACAGAGAGGAGGGCCGGACTGAGGAAGACCTGAGACTCGGCCACGCGTGGCGACAGATGGGGGCAGCGTTGCTCTAGGGCACTTGCGGAGAAACAGACATGCCAAGTCCTAAGACTTCGGGCGCGCGCGCGCGCGCACGCGCACGCACACACACACACGCACGCACACCCCTGGGTATGCCTTTGGTTATTCCCGGCCGGGGGCTCAGTCCAAATCAGTAGTTGAGAGCTTATTAAAACCCCTATTTATAAGCCTTACCCTGGCTATGCTTCCCTTCATTTCAAAATGCACTGTTAGTCTTCCTCTTCCCTGTGGTTTTGGAGGCCATGGGCTGAGCAAGCCGATAGTCTTCATACATGAAACCTTTCTGCAGAAGTGCACCGGTTATCCACCCGCTCACTGCCTCTCAGTTCCAGTTCATCCTTTTTGCCCACTCTGTGAAAATGGATCTAGACCCTTTAAATAGAAATGGCAGGATGTCAAGCTTTGTCAGTAAGGCTCTGGAGAGACACAGAAGGAGAAAAGGCGTTCTTTCTGGTGCCACTAGGCTGCTGCAAGTCTGTGTGGCTGCCCCATGCCCAGCTTCTGAGCACAGTTTCCCCAGCACCAGACTTCTGTGGTCAGGGACCAGCAGCAGCCAGCAGCTTCCCTCATTACCCTACCCCCTTGGGTGGTTTTGATAACAGTGCCTCCAGGGAGATGCCTCCCTGGAGAGGCATCTTTCTCTAGTATCCTAGAGCATAGTTTTCCAGCCTAGAGGGTGAATTTCTAGCAAGTTCCACCAGCACAGCACCACAGTCACTTCTCTGCCATTCAGTGGGCTGCAGCCATTCCCTTCACAACAAGGACTGAATCTCAGCCTGCGGACCAGGGTGCAGAGCTGGAGTGGAGCGTATCTTCCTTGAGCTCTCTGTCTTAGCCTTATAGGCAGCAACTGTTCCTTATATCTGCTATTTTTATATTCTTTCAAATTCTCTTCTTACTAACCAATCCCTCACTACTACAGTTTTATAATCTTTAAACTTTCCTGTGGTTTCTGATTGAACCCAGATCGATACAGGGAGTGACAGCAAGTTGCCTACTTTAGCTTAAGGAAGGGGATAATGGCTTCCTCCTTGGCCTGAGTTCAAGCGAGACAAATGGAACAGCTTAGTCCAGGCGAGTAGCAGTGGTTAGCTCACACTGGCCCTGGAGAGGAGTCCACCTCGAGCATGTTGAGGGGAAGGAACATGGATATTAGAGTTTGCCTAGGTCTGCTCGAGCTGGTATAACAAAACAGCACAGACTGGGTGGCTTAAACAACAGAAATTCATTTTTCTCACAGTTGTTCTCACAGTGAAGGCTGGGAGGTCCAAGATCAAGGGGCATTCCCCTTCAACTGCTGGTGAAGGCTCTCTTCCTGGCTTGCAGACAGCCGCCTTCTCCCCATATCCTTCCATGATAGAGAGTGAGCACTTTTCTTCCTTTTTTTTTTTTTGAGTTGGAGTCTCACTCTGTCGCCCAGACTGGAGTGCAGTGGCCGCTCCCGGCCACCGCAGCCTCGACCTGCTGGGCTCCGGTGATCCTTCTGCCTCAGCCTTTCAAGTAGCCGGAATTACAGGCATGCGCTACCACGCCCAGGTGATTTTTTGATTTATTGTAGAGATGAGGTCTCGCTGCCCAGGCGGTCTCGAACCCGCGGGCTCAGGCAATCCACTCACCTCAGCCTCCCAAAGGCGCGGGATTACAAGCTGAGCCACCGAGCCTGGCTCACTTTTCTTCTTTTTCTTCTTTTTTCTTTTGAATCAGGTCTCACTTGCCCAGGCTAGAGTGCAGTGGCATGATCACAGCTCGCCACAGCCTAGACCTTCTGGGCTCAAGCAATCCTTCTGCCTCAGCCTCCCGAGTAGCTAGAACTACAGTGTGTTTCACCATACCCGGAAACATTTTTAAATTTTTTTGTGGCGATGAGGTCTCGCTATATTGCCCAGGCTGGTCTGGAACTCCTGGGCTCAAGCAGTCCTCTGGTTTGAGCCTCCCAAAGTGATGAGATTATAGGTGTGAGCCACCACACCCAGCCTGCTTTCCTTCTTTTTATGAGTACCAACTGTCAGATTAGGGCCCCACTCTTATGACCTCACAGGCTCTAACCCCTGTTAGAGTTAAAGGGGGTTAGACTATCAATGAGTGAATGTTGGAGACATTCTATGGATTTCTAGAGTGTAGTCCATAGCAGAGTCACACAGACCAGGGTTTGATCTCAGCCCTATCATTTACCAGCTGTGTGGCATTGGGCAGTTTTATTTACTCTCGAAGCCTCAATATCCTCACATGGAAACTAGTTAAAGTGACTGTACAATTTTTTGTTCAAACCTTTTGAGAGTGAAAGGGGATGCTGTTGATAATTTTGCCAGGACAGCAGGCAAACACCATGATGGTTCCAAGCAAACCAGGACACACACACAAAACAGGACAGTTCCCTCAAAGAAGCCTACTTTTCAGTATTGTTAGGCTAAAGATGATAATGTATGCAAACTGCTTTAGCAAAAAAGATACAAGAACTCTCATTTACATCATTAGCCCCCCTGCTGACCTCCCTGGCAAAGAATCTTCCCCTACTGACAAAATACCCCTTAACTCTACACCCTACCCACCTGCCAGGAATTCCCTAAGCCGGAAGGAAGGAGGGAAGGAAGAGGAGTGGAGGGGTGCTGGCAACCTAGGTTCAGCACAGGCAAGGCTCAGCATCTCTCTAGCACTGGAACAATTGTGCACTGGGCCTAGGGATAGCAAGATTGCTGGGAGTGGGGGTGGGAATGAGGGAAGGAAATCCTTCCCAAAGGCAAAGACAACAGTGTACTACACAAGCCATCCACAACTGAAAAAGAGCAAATGGTTTAGAGAATTGTGAGGGATAGAGGGTTAAGCAGAGGAAAAAGAGGGAGAGGAAGGGGGGGGAGAAGGAGAGGGAGAGGGAGCAGCTTCATGAGAAGACAGCATGGTGGAGACACACTAGGGATGGCAAATGAAGACCTATCAAAGAGAGGAGGAAAATGCACTGAATTATAGTTCCTATATAAATATGAGTATAGGCTTGGCGCAGTGGCTCACGCCTATAATCCCAGCACTTTGGGAGGCCCAGGTGAGAGGATTGCCTGAGCCTACGGGTTCCAGACCTGCTCTGGCAACTTGGCGAGACCTCATCTCTAGAATAAATAAAAAAATTAGCTGGGTGTGGTGGCAAACACCTGTAGTTTCAGCTAATTGGAAGACTGAGGCAGAAGGATCACCTGAGCCCAGCAGGTCGAGGCTGCAGTGGCCGTGAGTGTGCCACTGCACTCCAGCCTGGGTAATAGACTCCAACTCTAAAAAAAAAAAAAAAAAATGCTCAAATGGCGCAAGTAGGTGCACAGTGAAAAGTCGAGTCTCCCTCCTGTCCTGACCTCTACTTAAACAAAAGGCACACAGTATATAATTCTGCACCCTGCTTTTCTCACCGATAAACTATCTTTAGAGATGATTCTTTCATGCTAAATATCAATCTCCATCATTGTTTCAAGTGCTACATGGTGTTCTATTATTCATTTGTGCCATAATGTTTTTCACCAGTCCCTATGGCAGAAAAGCATTACTTGGCTAACCCAACACCCCTTCTCAGGCTTTTAATTCTTGCTATGCTACAGGCTGGGATCCCTAAATATTTGCTTTTTCATCCTCACCTGCAGCCAGGTGTGCCCATATGATATGACTCCGGCTGAAGAGATAAAAGCAGAAGTCTGCCGGGAGGCTTCTGGGCAAACTTCAGCTTTTCTCACAAATGTAGTAGACAGCACTCCCTTCCTTCCTAGGACACTGATATGCCATCTAGAGTGCAAGTTCACCTTCTTACAACTGTGAAGGCAATGCCAAGAGAGTCACAGAGATGCTGATTCTGACAATGGGCAGTGCCAGCCACAGCTGGCTCCAGACTTCCTCTGTGATAAATGCAAGTCCATGTTTATTTCACCTGCAGCTATCAGCCTTCTTGTTACTTGCCCCCGACACATTGAAACCGCCTATTTAAAGCTAATATCAGGGCCAGGCATGGCTGAAGCCTGTAATCCCAGCACTTTGAGAGGTGGAGGTGAAAGGATTGCCTGAGCCCATGGGTTTCAGACCAGCCTGGGTAACTTGGCGAGACCTCATCTCTCAATAAATCAAAAAGATCAGACAGGTGTGGTGGTACACACCTGTGGTTCCAGCTACTTGGAAGACTGAGGCAAAAGAATCACCTGAGCTCAGTAGGCGGAGGCTGTGGTAGCTGTAATTGTGCCACTGCACTGAGTGAGACTCCAGTTCAAAACAAACGAATAAGTAAAATCAGGCCATGGGGTAAAAGCCGTAGAAGAGACCTGAGCCCGGTTGTTTCTAAGTGTGCTTTCACTCCAATAGAGGGCAATTGATTATCTGCATGTCCTGACCTCTGGAGAGGGGGGAAGCTGCCCTACAGGGCTGATAAACATTTTCAGCTGGGTGTGGTGGCTCATGTCTGCAATCACAGCACTTTGGGAGTCCAAGGTGAGAGGATTACTTGAAGCCAGGTATTTGAGACCACCCCGAGCAACATAGTGAGACCCTCTCCTCTGAAAAAAATTCCTTTAAACAAATAATGAACCTAAGGCTATAGAGATACAAAAGTGGAGGCTAAAGAATAGAAAGCATTCCAATCTCCAAGGACCCCACCTCCCCCATACCTTCCTCCTAAACTACCTCTATAATGACGCTCTGCCCAGGGACCAGTAGCCAGTGGTCCCAGGACTTGCTTTATAGGTAGACTTGCTTTATAGGTAGCATCTATTGTAAAACCAAAGAAGAGTGTATAGCCTGCTGGGCTCAGACAGTCCTTCTACCTCAGCCTTTCAAGTAGCTGGAATTACACTACACCTGGCTAATTTTTTGATTTATTGTAGAGATGAGGTCTCGCCATGTTGCTCAGGCTGGTCTTGAACCTGTGGGCTCCGGCATTCCTCTTGCCTGAGTCTCCCAAAGTGCTGGGATTACAGGTGTGAGCCATCACACCCAGCTAGCCTCTGAATTTTCAGGAAGGCAGATTATCTACATGCCCTTCCTTGCTCAGCTGCTTTGTGATATTAAACTTTTTTTCCAGTGTAATGGCTGCTTCAGTCTTGGCTTTTCTGGACAGCAGGCATAAGAACACAGTCAGACTGTGACAACATTCTTTCCTGATGTAGTCCCCCACTGATGGACATATAGGTTGCATCCAATCTTTTAATGATGTTGATATAATGACAGCCCATACCCATATGTCTGTGTGTATAATTCTGTGTAGAATAAACTAGATGTGGAATTGTTGCTCATTCTAATTTTTTTTTTTTTTTTTTTTTTTTGAGTTGGAGTCTCACTCTGTCACCCAGACTGGAGTGCAGCAGCTGCTCCCGGCCACCGCAGCCTTGACCTGCTAGACTCCGGCGATCCTTCTGCCTCAGCCTTCCCTGCAGCTGGAACTACAGACGTGCACTACCATGCCCGGCTCATTTTGATTTATTGTAGAGATGAAGTCTCTCCAAGTTGCCCAGGCAGGTCTCAAACCCGCGGGCTCAGGCAATCCACTATCTCAGCCTCCCAAAGGTGCGGGATTACAGGCTGAGCCACCGAGCCCGGCTCTAATTTTTTTTTTTTTATTGGAGTCTCTTACTCCATCTCCCAGGCTGGAGTGCAGTGGCATGCTCATGGCCACTGCACCCTCAACCTGTTAAGCTCAGGTGATCCTTCTGCCTCAGCCTTCCAAGAAGTTGGAACTACAGGCATGCACCACCATACCCGGCTACTTTTTTGATTTTTTGTTGAGATGAGGTCTTGCCAAGTTGCCCAGGCTGGTCTCAAGCCCGTGGACTCAGGGAATCCTCTCACCTCGGCCTCCCAAAGCACTGGAATTATAGTCATGAGCCACCGTGCCTGGCCTATCAGTGATACTTTCTGTCTCCTCAGAAAAACAATCAATCCATTTGTACACCGCTGTTTTTTTCATGGCATTATCCGCATAAAATTGGACTCACATGTTCCTGATTTCACTTCCACTCTTTCCAAGTTTAACAAGAAATTTAATGTTTGTTCGTTGCTCTGATTAAAACTTCAACATTCTCACAACGATAGCTCTGATGGCCATTCCAAAAAGAAAGTTCCAAAATTGCTTTGACGGGTGAACTAGGTGCTGGTATAGGTACATAGCTTCCC